TTTTAATCACACACCCATCCTGCCCCCTGTAAGAGCCCAATATTTCATATTCAAAAACTCCACTTTAAAGCAGTTTAGATTTATATATGGTTTACAAAAACAACCTTTCTTATAACACACTGCATCTGACCACAGCTGACAGCTTTGAACTCATGCAAGTTATATTCTGGACAAAAGAGAACAGTACTAGAACAAACTTAATACTTTTTGATGAAGACCCTATGACTGCATTAAAAGTATAGCAAAAAACTACTAGAACAATTTTTTAACAGCCAAATTTTTTTTCTGTACTTTATGCTCAGAAACTAGAAAAGGGAAAAAATTGGAAAAAAAAAAAGTCAGTATCTTTTGTGCTGCAAGAGTAAAATGGGTTCAAATTCAGTGCATAGCAGGAGGCAGAGATATGTTTTGTTTGACACATCATTATTTATACAAATGGGCATAATAAACTTCAAGCTTGTTAATCGTGCCTAACACAATTCAATAACATGCAAGTCAATTACAGAGTAAGCAGGTGGGAATACTTTTCTTTCTTATATAGAATAAGCAGTGATGTAGCAACAAAAATGAAGAGTAGGATATGCTACCTATTGCAGAGTTTTTTTTTGAACTGGCATTATCAATAATGTTGACAACTTACTTTAATAACTTCATGAGCCATAGCATGGGTAATATTTACACTACGCCCAAAACATTCTCTAGCCTCTGACAGTCTCCCTTCCTGCAACAATTGTTTCCCTTTCAGAAGACTGGCTTGACGCCTCCTGAAAGAAAGACAAAAATATCACCAATCTTAGATTATTTCTCACTTAAAAGAACAAACAGCAGAAGGGGTAAGAGACAGGTAAGAAACGGGGGAAAATTGCAACACCTTCCAAATGTGAGACACTGCATAATTTTTTAAAGATCTATAGATCTTTAAAAGAATAACTACAAAGTTAGTTGTAAAAGAATAACTACATCATTGCATTGACAAGGACAACTAGATTTGAATGTTGGAATTTATGAGATTTTCTCAGAAAACAGTGACAAATAGGAACTGAAATCAGCAGGGTAAAAGAAGAAATGCACCCACTCAGCTTGCAGTAAAATAAATTTAATGGGAGTTGGCAGTTATCTGACACTAGATAGTTATTGATTTAGAGGACAGAAAACCTAGTTTACTTAATTTCATCAATCGGAAATTGTTCACTTCACGCTGAAGAAAGCGCACGTCTCATGAGACTATAAATAACAACCACTACTGAAAAATTATCATAGCTTCAGTGAAAAATCCCATTTATAGGGACCTGAATCCAAATTTGAAACAACTTTATCTTGTTAGTTGTAGAGAAAGATGAGGAAAGGGATACTATTTTGAAATAAAATGATATTGGGTAAAAAAACTTTTGTTCAGAGATCACAAGTGTGCGTAAACTAAAAGCCTCTAATGACAGGAACTACTGCTCAAAGGCTTACTTCCTTCCTTTATAAAATGGCTTCCGTTTATGAAGTGCATCTCTATTTTTGGAATAAAACCTCTAAGAAATTTGTATGATTTTAGATGCAAATTAAAAAATATCATGCTACATTTCAGGGAGGTTTACCAGAACTTACTTCCTAGCTGAAGTTTACGGGTTTTTGATTTTTACTGTAGGGATAAAACTCCTTTGCTTGCAAATCAATACACTTCAGTACTTACTCTCGTCGTGCCTTTTCCACTTCCTTCTTAGAGGGTAGGGTACATCCATCAAATACCAAAATTGGTTTAATTCCAAATGAGAGGAGCATATGAACAAGTTTCATACAGAAAGCTACATAACTGTATCAACAATAACAAAAGTAAGAAAAGAGAGATAAATTTTGTTAATCACAAGTCTATTAAACATTTTCCAGTTGCAGGAAAGGAGAACTGTAAGTTTAGGACTAACTATTGTTCAAAAATCATAACAGGCTGTACAGCATCACAAAAAAAACCTAAGAACACTTGCATGCACTTTGTTTGATTTTTTTACCAAGAGAAACAATCCACCTCCCAGTTCAGAACTGGGCTGACTGCTCCTCTCTCCCAGACAAAATGAAATAAGAATTCAAGTATAATTCAGTTGATTCTGCTACATTGAGACAAAAACTTAACCAGTTAAAACATGGATTGTCTTTTTACTTTCAGCAACTCAATTCACAATGGCAAGGGAAACAGGAAGCAGACAAGCAGAGTGCATGACCTTTCTCCAGAGAGGCAGATTAAATGCACTTTCATAGAGTTGGAAGTGATGGGGGTTATTTAATTTCTCCAACCTTCCACTGCCTTCAAACCCATTCCTTGAAAAAATATTTGTTGGGCATTCCAGATGTTATTTATTCCCTCAGACCTCATCTTCTTACCTGTAATTTCTACAGATCTGTATGAGATCATTTTATCAGCAGCACAGAACTAAGATCTAGTAACTGTTGTAAACACTAAGCAAGCATATTGCAGTGATGTTCAAAGAAAAAAAGATTTTTTTTTTTTTTAATTTTAAGGACACTGTTTAAAACAGCAAGAGCAACCCCATCAACAGAGGAAGGGAGGAGAATGGGATTTAGAAGCATTTAGAATGTAAGGATACGAACACTGAAGAAACTAGATTTAGAAGGGAAAATACAGAAAAATAATTATGATTTTTGAAAGATGGGAGCAAATAGCACTGTAGCTATATAATACCTTCATCCAGATGAATTTTAAAGTATGAAAGGACTCTACACTATAGTTAAGGTGCCAGTCTAGGATCATATGTGCATGGAAACAAGATTTGCCCATAAAGTACTCATCTAATCAAATTCAACTATTCCAAAGTTTCCTATGAGTATTTCTCCTCACAGTCATTTTTTCTTCAGCTGAAGCGTATCCTATTCTCAAGACTCTGAGGAACCTCCACTACCTTCAAGGCAGAGTTGGATTGAAATTCCACAGTTCTTAACAGTAAATATTTGAATCCATTTGCAAAGCACCAACTCTCTTTTGCCTCCAATCAAATATTTGATGGATCCAGGGGTCCCTGAGTGGTGCCAAGCAATAGGACAAGAGGCAGCAGGCAGAAACCACACCATGGGAATTCCACTAGAATATAAGTAGAACTTCCTTGCTCTCATATTCCATTTTGTTTAAATGGTATGCCCTGTCTCACCCCTCCAAAATGTATGGTATATTCTAAGCCTGTGGTCCTGCCCCGAACCATCCTGTATCTGCAATCCCATTGGCCCAATGTGATTCTGTGCCCACTTCAATTCCCCTCTTAAGCTGTGGTAGGAGATCAGCCTGGCTCTTAGCCCTTCCTCTCTCTCAGCCTCTTCCCCCCTCTTGCCCCTTCCCTCCCCTATGCTCCCCTTCCTTCCCCCTTCCCCCCTTCTCCTTCAGTAACCATGCTGTTCCCGGGGATGGGACCCCCAATAAACCCTCATCTGCTCAGCACCCCCAGAAGCCGTGTGGAGTCTCCTTGCCTGCCTGCTGCTGCCAGCCAGCTCACAGCCTAGGGGGCCCTCCGGGGACACCCCGGGGTACCCCCCACCCCAAAACGAACCGCAACACCTTGCTGTGCAAGTAACCAAGCACTGAAACAGGTTGGCCAGAGTGGTTTTCGAGTCTCTTCCTGCTCTGGAGATATTGGAAAGCCATCTGGACACAACCCCAAGTAATGCTCTCTAAGGGAGCCTGCATGAGATGACATCCTGTGGTCCCTTCAACCTTACCTATATCCACTCTAAAACAAGAGCTCAAGCCACATTTCCAGAGATGGGCAAGAAATGCAAACCTGATCTAAGGTGTGGAGCTAAATCTGAAATAAGACCACAATTTTTGTTCATTTCCTTCTCTAGAACTGTAACTGTGTAAACGTGTTTTAGAAAAGCTACTTTAATTAAAAGTGTAGTACATTCAGTAAAAATCTTACGCCTTATTCAGAGCACAACTCTCACAAAATTCCTTGGCATCATTACAACCTTTGTCACAGAAGTGTTTACAAAGTCTCTTTGCATACAAAAAAGGTATCTGAAAACAATATTAAATTAGAAATTAAAGAATTGCACGTACAGAATTTTATCAGAGAAATTAGATTATAGTTGAGAGCGATACATGCTAGGGAAAAAAACTAACGGATGCAGCTTTGGGTATAAAAAAATATCAATTATAAAATACATAAAAAAGTATTTTGAGAGGTTTCTCTCCAAAATATAGTTCAAATTTTTTTTTAAATTTTCCACAGCTGGAAGGCTGTTTATTTATCGCCAAAAATTTCCATTTCTAAAGATCTCAACTCAGAATTCAGAATCAATAGCAAGAAGCGAAATTACTGTAACTTAGTTTTTAGTTCAAGAAACACCAAGTTAACAAAACTTTAGTTTGCAAAAGGGCTGAGACAAACGTAAGAAAGACTTACACATCCGTGGGCTCTCCTCGGGCCAGCTTCTCAGCACAGGCGTAGGCGCCTTTGTGCAGCCAGCAGTAGGTGTCCACAGCTACCGCCATTCCTTTGTATTTCTTCACGTGGGAAGGCTCGGCAGCCTCCTTGATAAACTGCAGCAGGCCCTGGATGCCCATGATGCCGCCGAGCGGGGAAGGAAGAAGAGGAGCGAGCCCAAGCCGAGCGCTCAGTGCTCCCGATGGTCACCCCCGACCTTCGCTCGAGGACCGCCGGGCCAGCTCACAGACGGGGCGCTGGGCCGCGCCAGGGCCGCCAGGAGCTCCCGCGGCCGCCCCCACGCATCCCGGCTCGGGGCCGCGTCCCCACGGGCGGCGGCGGCTTTACCTCGTTGCGGGCCGGCGCTGCCCGGACAGCGGGGCGAGAGAAGGACAGAGGGACACGGGGACCCCGCCCGACCCCGCCGGGGCACTCGCTGTTCGCCCGATCCGGCCCGGCTCAGCCGCAGCGCGCGCCGGCCGCCCGGGGCTTTTAAGCAGCGCGCGCTAAACGCGGTATCCCCGCCCCGCGCGCGGGGACTACGATCCCCATGGTGCCCCGCGCGGGCGGGGAAGCGCATGCGTGCCGGTATTCCTGGCGGCATTCCTCACGGCCGGCGTGCGGCGGACACGGCTCGCATATAACAACAAGAAGGTGACGTTTATAAACATTAAATAGGCAGAAATCAAAAGGCCCCGCAGAGTTTTAACAGGACAGTGGACTGTAGCCAACGCCGTGAGAGGGGAGGAGAAGGGAGGGGCTGAGGCGGGTCCCTGCCTGCCAGGGATGGAGCGCGGACAGGATGCTGTTGTTACAGCGCGGAAACCCCGGTTAATGTAAGAACAGATGGCCGAAGTTACAATTATGTGATACAGGGCCCTTTTCTTGCCAGTTATCGTGAGGGTTTGCTTGCATAAATAAAAGCAGAACTTGCAGTAAGATGTAAATGTAGGCCAGTACCTAGCAGACAGAAGTTTGTTTTCCCACATGCCGCTTGGAAGCCCGGGCAGTTCTTAGCTTCTCTGACTCGGTGAGGTGGATGACTCAGTCAGCAGTGTAGAAAGCAATGTTTCCCGACAGTGGGCAGCAAAGTTTAAATTCAATGCATTCTGGAAAGAACACATCTGAATGACAATTTCTCAGCTAAGAAATGCGTATAAAAAACTGGGTCACAGTGATAGCATGAGACATTTTAATGTTGAAAATATTGATTGAATTCTGCTTTGCCAATTCTTTTTTCACTCCACAATCCTGACTACATATGACACACTCCACAAGTCTGAAATCCAACTGCAGTTAGAATCCATTTGGATTAGGTTCGTTTCTCTTAAGAATATGTTCTTCTATCACTTCTGACATTTCTTTTTCTGTCAAACTGCTGTGCTCATGGGAAGAACAGTAATCAGAGCAGACAATGTAATGTACCAATATAATTCAAGATCTTACGTGCAATTAAATCAATTAAAAAGACTTTGGACTATTTTCTGTAAATTAAAAATAGTTAAAAATAGGCCTGAGGTGAACCTCAGAGTCAGAAGCACTGGAGCCAATGAAGTATTCTTGAAGGAAGCCAGAGCTACAGAACTCTTGCCCAGCTCAGACTTTCCTTTTCAATTTCTTCACCTGAAAGGATGGGTACTTTGGAATTGAAGAGTTAGCACAACATGTCTTAACATTCAGTCAAATGTCTTCAGCCATGTCTGAGCCAATGTGACCCACCCTCATGGCATCTCATAACTTCTATAAAATAACAGAAGCTTGATACCAGGAGTCAAAGGCTTTGTTTCAGTAGAGCTATCTTGACTTAAAATTGGCTAAAGATACTGATCTTTAAGTTCAACAGTGTCTCTTGGAAGAAAGTAGTCAGACAGTAACATTTTGGTGAGTTATTCCCTGGAAGAACACTGCAGTATTGCAGTTTTATTTCCCATAGGTACCACATGAAACAGGGAAGCAGCACTGCATTATGGTTAGTTGACTTGTTTTAATATAGAGAATTCTTTTCTTTCACAAGTAGCTCATGTATCAAGAGAATTGGTAAGACTAGAAATTACTATGCCAAGTCTCTGGTGTGTGTTCTTCTCTTTCCTTGAGCAGTTTTGTAATAGTGACTGGCAGAATGCATTTTAAAGAGATCTTGAAGTAGAAAGTATAGCAGAAACATTTTGTTTTCTTTGCAACTCTTTTCTGTCATGTAATAAAAAAAGAAGACCCATTCTGAGTATAGCCCTGTTGACCCCTGATAGAAATTTGAGATAGGTGCCCAAGATAAAAACACCAAAGTACCTCTAGAACTGCTTCTTTCTCAACACAGCTCTCCTAAAGAGGAAATGGGATCACTGTCTGATGTAAACATCTAGCCTTTACATGGAGAAGTAAAGCAAAATTAAATTTGTGCCCACTACAATGGGCAAGGACATCTTCCAGATTTTTACTAAGCTTCCTTCCATGCAGTGTCTGGCACAGCTGGAAGTGTCCTCATGCAGAAGACTAAAATCCTTGGAATGAAAACTGGTACTTTGCTGAAGCTTACAATCAGACCATCAGCTTTAGTGATATTAATAGACTGTCTGGTTTACAATAATTTTCCCAAAATTTCAGTGAATTTCTTATTACTGCTACTATATTGTTTTCGCTGCTTAAGAAGTTGACCACTTTTATCTCAAAAAGTTGGTTTGGAAGTTAGTTGGACTATTTAATCAATTTCTTAGAAAAGAAATTTGATTTTTCTCTGTGGTGAGAGGTGGCAGCATTACATTCATTGCACCCTTTATCTGTCTTTTATTGAAATTTCTGTTATTGGACTATATATTTTCACAGCTTTTTTTAGCCAAACTTTAATACCACTAGCAAATTCATGAACAATTGTACACACTTGAGAGAAGTTCAGGGGATGACATCTTTAAACTATATTTAGTAGCAGAGAAAATGTTTTTAAAAGCTCCTAATTTATCAGGAAAATATTGTATGAATGGTGTTAATAATGTTATTAAAAACCTAGATTTTCTAGTTAACATAGTTTTGTTATGGGCATCTGCTGATTATGTTAGCTTAGTAACTATTCTGAACTTAAGCCTGGCTGTGCTGCTTGTGGCAAGTTTTTTTTTTATGTCTGGAAGCACAATGTCAGTATAGAGAACAAAAGCATGCTAAACTCTAGTATCCTAATGCATTTTTTTCCCTTGTGATCTGTCGTTGTGAAATCACCCATGCGGGTGCTGCTGAAGCCTCTGCTCCTTGCGGCTGCATGGCTCAGCCTGGCCCCTAGAGGCTTCTTGGGACGCAGCCTCACCTGCAGCCGAGGGCAAGGGGCAGTTCAGTTTCACTTTCGGAGAAACAGAGGCAGGAAAAACTCTCTTAATTTGTAGGTATATCTTCAAACAAGTCCTGCAGTCATTACTACCACTTTAAATTACTCTTGGTTTTGTTGTTTTTTTTTTTTTCTTTTTGACCTCACAATAATACAGGTGCCTCCAGACTCTCCAAGTCTGTCCAGAACTTGAGCTGTGCCAAGGTGACTTTCTTCAATTTGGGAATTATACAGAGCTCTCTCTCCACATATGGAGAGAGATGGCATGATCTAGTAGCATTAACAGCCTGATTCAATAATTAACAAGAAATTGCAAAAAGACAAGGGAATTGCTGCAGATAAGCACCAACAGCTTGGCATGCTGTGGGAAAGGAACAGCTGTGTCATTGCATTCAAAGAGAGCCTGAGACACTCGAGTCCTCCTGGGGTAGGTGAGCGGCCTCTGGGGATTTGTTGCTGTCGATTTATTTAACTTGGTGCTGGACCCCCCTGCACCTCAGGTAAGCTATTCCTAGACTTACACACTCTGCATATGTAGTTTATTTTTCTGAGAAAAGGGATTTTGAATAATGTTTGACAGCATTCCTTTCCTCAGTGCTTCTGGTAGCACACAGTGAACGAGCAGGTGAGTGTCTGTGTTTCAGGAAAGTCTGCAGAAACATGAACCATACAGGGCCTTGGTTAAAATCTTGTTTTAAGCCAGTAGCTCAACTAAAAGGACCTTTTAAATGAAAGCTTAAAATGGAGCAAAAAAATTATTTTGTCATAAACAGGAAAACTGTAGCTGAGATTCTCAGAGATCTGATTCCAGCTCTTTATGGGACTTTCAGCCCAGAAAGAAGAGCAGAAGATAGATGTTTATTTTTCAGGTACAGGCTCCTCAGTGTGCAGTGCAGTGGGCAGGAGAAATTGTCTCTAAAAATCCAGCAGCACTCCCTCACAGAGGAAAAGAATATTTTGCCGAGTTATTTGGGTGAAGTTGGAGTAGGCAGCTGGTGGCAGGTGCTTCCACAGTGCTCACTGCCCTCTCAGTATTACTGGCTGCTCTCATACATAGTCTCAGTCCAGAAGTTGGGGGTAGATTCGTGCTGATCTTTCGTACTCTCATCTTTCTCTGTCCTCTTATGCTCTGTATTTCTGCAGGTGCTGTAATGATAGGGACAGCACCAGACAACAGGGTACCCTGATTCACCTGCAAATGCATGTGGCTATATTCTCCTCATCTGGTTTTTACTGAGGAGGTTTTTTTACTACTGGAAGTGAAAAGTATCCATTTTTATTCTGATTGCACTGATTTTACTGGTTCATGTTACAGCCACTAGATACAGTTACACTCAAGACACTGATCTTGCTAGAGATATCTTCAAACCAGAAAGACCTGTCAGCATCTTGTTAATTTCCAGCTTTCCAAAAAATGGCATAATTAGTGAGGGCTTTAAAATATCTTTGGTCACTTGAAGAGAATGGAGATTTGCAAACTAAAGAGAACTTAATGCACTCACCAATATCTATCTATAAAGGTCTTAAAGTAACTCAGTCTGGACCATAGAGAGCTTGGTAGCAATGAATTTTTATCAGTCTCATTATTTTACACAAGCCTGGTAACACAAGTGCTGGTCTGGACTGACATAGCCTCTAGTTTATAGAACCACACCAATAATACTCAATAGTTCACACAGGTCAATGACATACAGATGTTTTATCAGATTCTGTTAGAATTTTCTTACATTTCAGAGATGAAAAAAGAGAGGCTTTGATGCAAAAAAAAAAGTTCAGATATTTTGCTGGGATGATTCTCTGGAATCAGATAGGGTGATCAAATATTGTTTATGCTTTCTGGGGAAATGGGGGAGGCCCAGTAGCCTGCCATTTCCCTTGCATCTGTTACATCTAGCCATACTAAGTGCCCTGTTAATTTCTGTTTCTCATATAAGTGTTCTTCTTTGTGCTACATGGAATAAAACTAAAATAGGTTAATCATTAACTAATTATGCCAGTAGCAGCTGAACAGTCTCATGTGTTCCCAACTGAAAGTAATCTAGAGTCTGTTTTTTTCTTTTTTGTAGGTACTGATATATTCCATATAGCTGAGTCTTCCAGCAGCAAATGAAAAACATGTATTTATTCCTCCTTTCCATTTTACCTTTGCTTTTGAAAGTCATTGGCACCAAAGATGTTATATTTGGTCATAATAATTTCACAGAATATCAAGTGGGCAACATGAACCTCATTCTCTCTGTCCCACATGGTGGGTCAATGGAACCTAAAGACATCCCTGATAGAGAGGCTGCCTGTTGGGATGCGAAGACATCCTCTTGTATTTTCTCTCATGACTGTCCTCCTGGAAGTATTCAAAATGCTATGAAATGCAAAGTGTCTACCAACCAAGACAGGTATACCATAGAGGTGGCTCAGGCTCTTGCTGAAGAAATCAACAAAATTACTGATGGCTTCTTCCCACATATCATCATAAACCACCTACAGAGGTTCAAGATGGATGCTAACAGGGAAAAGGAAGAAGCCTCCTTTGGAATTCCCCTAGCAGAACAGGCCTGGGAGGACTATATGGGATTTTTGACCACTGCAAAATCACAAATGTCAGGGGGCCTAATTCTGGATATCCACGGACAAGCACATCGTGAAAGGTGGATAGAACTAGGTTACACACTTTCAAAAAATACTCTTAACTCAGGTGTCTTTTCCGCATCAAATTCCTCAATTAGCCATCTGGCCAGTCAGCTGGTCAATGTGTCTTCCGAGACTTTGGTTGCAGGGAACAGAAGTTTGGGTAAATATATTGAAGGACAAAATAAGAGTTATGTTTGTGTGCCTTCTCCATCCAATCCTAGCCCAAATAATGCAAGCTATTATAGTGGTGGGTACATAACAAAGACTTTTGGTTCCCGTAGCTCTGGCACCATTGATGCCATTCAGCTCGAACTGCCCCAGTGGGTCAGGGCAGCTGAAGAGCGTCACAGATTTTGTAAAGCATTGGCAAGGGCTGTAATGAAATTCTGGCAAACTAACTACTGCAGCCAGCAAAAACACAAACTTCTGCCATGCTGACAGCCTCTTGGCTGTCCTGTTAAGATACCTTTCCTTAATAGAGTAGTGATCTGAAACAATCAAAACACTCATTCACCTGGAACATTTAAGTGCAATATAATTGTGGATGCTGGTAGAAAGAAACCATCCTGCAAAGGAATGCATCAACATAGAGGAAATCCACAGTTAATACCAACAAATCCAACCCAAAAAATAACACCTTTGTACTAGACCCAGCACTGAAATGTCTGCTGTAAGATGAGTGGGTGCAAGCATCACTTGCCTGTGCTTTATTTCTTTCCAGTCTCATGATAAGCAACTGATCTTCTAATAAATTCTGTGCAATGCCCTGGTGGATTATCTGTTCAAAGAAATTAAATGTCTCTGCTTTTCTTTTGACACTTAAGAAAGACTTTGATTAATATCATTGTATAAAATGTTTGGGGTCAGGACCAGTTTGCATTTGGTGCTTATAAAGCCCTAGGGTTTGGAAGTAAGCAGTAATGCTGGGCAATGACATGCAGTCTGATCTACCCCAGGTTATTTTTAATGTAATGAATTAGGAAAAAAGAGGTCTGCACTTATAGCACTCTAACTTTGTCACACTTTAAATAGCATAACAGTAAGGTAGTGACTGGGTGGAAGGCTGATATAGCACGCACACATCATACATTTTTGACAGTTTTCCTTACAGCATGATTCCCTCCTGAGAGTTTGTCCATTATTTTGCTCACCCTAGGATTAAACACTTGATTTTTACTGTGAATACTGTTACATTATGGATAGTTTCTGCACAGTGGAGAATATAATGGCATGAATAGCCACGACTACAAGTCAACTCCTAGAGAACACAGGCAATTAACAAAGAAAACCGAGCGGAGAAGGAAGCAAGACTGAAAAGGGTACCATTTGAAAATTAAGAACCTATGAAGTCCTAGCACTGCCAGAAGTTTGGTAAGAAGAAAATATTGAGAAAATAGTCAGTTTTGAGGAAGTAAACAGTCAGTTAATAAACTGAAGAGAAGTGGGATATCTGCATCTTGCAACAACAGTAAAATAATTTTGGCCAATTATTAGGGACAATGCCAAAGACAAAATATTACATTATGTATGATAAAACATACCACATACAAGCATCAAAATAAATGGGTAAGGATCTCTTTGAACCTGAAGAACCTGTGCATTTTTAATAGTCTTTGAAGACTAGGCAATTTTTAGGTAACTGGAAGAGACTTTTTGTAGCTTTCAAAATGATACAGGACTCAGAATTGCAAGAAAGTTACCTTTCATATGCAAACTGCTGAATCATGGGTCAGTAGTAAATGGCAGATTGCACTTTATTTGGTGCTACTTGGTTTGTCAGACAAGTCTGATTTTAGTTCTGATCCCAAGGTTGGCTAATGTGGTGGGCTGACCCTGGAAGACACCAAGTGCCTGCCTAGTTTCTTGCTTGCTTCCTTACTTCTTCCAGTGGGATGGAGAAGAGATGTGAAAGAGCAGAAGTGAGAAAATTCTTGGGCCACAATGAAGACAGCTTAACAGGTGAAGCAAAGCTGAATGTGCAATCAAAGCAAAACAAGTAATTCAAGCACTGCTTACCACCAGTAGGCAGATGTTTGTTTAGCCACTTCCTGGGAAACAGGGCCTCAGCACACATAATGGGATGACAAACACTATAGCCATGAACATCTTACTTCCCTCCCCGATGCCATGAAAATGTTTTATGGTATGGGCTGTCCTGGGTGTGTACCTTCCCAGCTTATTCACTGGGTGTGGGAAAAAAAGCACCTTCTTGTTGTGCTGGCACTGCTGAGCAATAGGCAAAACACTGGTGTGTTATCAACACTTTTATTTACTAATCCAGGACACAGCACCGTACAGGCTGCTTCGGAGGAAATTACATTAATCCCTGCCAGATCTGGTACAGCTGATCATAAGAATTTTAAATATACTCCCACAAGATATTTTGCAGCTACCCTTCAATCCATCATAGCCTTGTAACGAGTTGAAGGCAGGTAAATAATTGCAAGTCATTGTATATTCAGTTCATGAGAAGAATGTCTTTTCAAGAAGGCCAGCAGATCAAACACCATTCAATATCAGTGATACAGAAAACCTCCTATTTCCCCCAAAATAGTAGGTAATAATATCACTAGTTATATGCATTATTATATGCATATGTAATTACCTTTTTTCTCACTAAGGTGAGACACTTGGCACCATTTGTATGCTTAGCCAAAGGGTGAAAATGTGTTCTGTGCTCTGTGTCATGTTGTGACATTGTCCTGGAATTCTGCAACGCAAAAAAAGATATGAAGAATCATGATGGATAATTAATTGAATATGAGTTCAGCAGGCACCTTTCTGGCTTAGAGGATGAACACACTCTTTGAAAGCATAAGCAAGGAACGAACAGGCAGAAACAGCAGGGCATATTAACTCTTTGTTGACTTTATGATTAATCTGGCAAGAAAAAAAGCAGTGTAATATTCAATATTCAGAAGTTCAAACTGGACAAATTGAAGCAGAGAGGAAACCAGTGGTTTTGACATAGACTAACTGTCAGCAAATATACATTTAAGTCATAAATGGCCTTTTCAATATCTAGTTATAATCATACACTGTCTTTACTAGAATTCCTTGCATGAAGGATTGGAATAAAAGTAAAGATCTGTTTTCTATATGTTCTACTTAATAATTAAATAGACTTAAATGCTATTGAAAAGAAAAACAGAGAAAAAATAACAAAATAAATCTGCTAGTCCACTTAAATGAAGAAATTAAACTACATTTATTTGTCTTGACTCAAGTCTTCATTGGAATCCAGATCCTTTTCCCGTCCCTTGTGACTGGACTTCTCAGCTTTGATCCTTTGAAGACCTTTAAAAAATTTCAAAAACTAATTAACATACTAAGGTGAATAGACCAGATTGATAGCATTTTGTAACAGAACAGACAAAAAAATATCTTTTTGTGCACATAGCTTACAGAAAAAGTCTGATTTCATTTTGTTGTAAATCCATTGCAGTGCCATTGGCGTCAGAGTATTTTATTTTATTTTTCAGGAAGAAAACAAAAGACAGATTTCCAAAGTACATTAATGGTCAGAAAAAATAGCATATGTGCCAACAATTTGAACACTGAGTTTTTTATGACACGCTGTAATGGTGCATGTACAAGGATTAGGTCATATGTATTGGAATGCAGAGCTGGAATGCCAAGTATCCTATTAATCCCACCTAACCAGCCATGTAGCATCTAACTCTGATCCTTAGTTCTCTAGGTACCCTCTACATAAAGGGATCAGCACCTTTGCTAGGGGTGATTCTTTTCATCCTATGGTATGTGGGATAGACAAGCCTGTGGAATACTCTGATCTTGCTCCATAGAATAAAAACCTAGAAAGCTTTGCTAGACAGCTTGCAATAGATCAGATCATTAATATCATTAATAAAATAGTACTACCTTACAATACTCAAAGCTTTGGGCAGATGGGAATCAATAGGTTGGGGCTGATTAAAAGAATCCAGTCTGAGCAAAACATTAATGACATGAGGCTGAGCAGGAGGAGTAAACATCTGCAATACTCACTGTTTGGCATGCTCACTTCAATTGGATTCTCAAGCTTCCACCAAAGTTGGAGTTGGAGTTGGATAGGTAGTAATGCAAATCATGTTAGAAAATTAAATTGAGAAGCAGACAATTAACAGTGGAATGGCAGAGTGTGTCACTGTAATAGCGTACAAGTGCTAATGGCTTCTGAGCTATGAACGCCACCACAAAAGGTAGAAAACACTTGAGCTTACCTCGTATATAGGAAGAAACCCAAATATCGCACCAGCCTCTTTGCTTGCAAACTCAAAAGTTTCCATATGTTGAACCTGACCAAGGGAAGCCAAAGTCAGTACATCAGTTGGTGAAGACAGAAGGTAATGAAGATATTCTTACTACATTCTTACTACAACTGCAAGAGAAGTTTTATATTCCCATGACTTTTAAGGTTAAAACCAGGTAAAGATGGAAGAGCTCCACTGATACTCAGTTAGAATTGTAGAAAGTATATTTAATGAAATCTAACTCTCCTAGCTTCTGATTTTATAGGAACCCTGAAGGAACTATTGTATGCAACCAGGGATTCACTGTTATTCTAGTATTTTCACACATCCTTAAAGTAAACTTAGGATATTTAGGTTTTCTGTTGGAGCAGAGGAAAATTCTAGGGTTTCTATTACATGTTTAAAACAGTGAATCAGTTTGTGCTACCTTCTAAACTGAAATTTGACAATATGAAAAATGAGAATGAAAATCACAGGCATTTCTTAGATCCCTCTGTTTTTGCATTTTTGTTCTAGCATGCCCATTGAATGAGAAAGATATGTAGGGTTATTTATGGATAATTTTAAAATGAGAAATACAATTTTATTTCCTATACATTACCCAGAACATAAATTTGTCATATACATTAGCTACCTTTTCAGGAGCCAGAGCTCTGAAAAACTTGAAGCTGTGAACTGCTTCCTCATGTTCAGCCTCTTCTAAATCTGAAGGTGATTCAGTCAGTGACTTCAACCTGTATGTACAAGACAGAAAAAATCTGAAGTTCCTATCAAAATGACAGTTATGAACACAATATTCATATATGACTCCAAAATTAACTTATTTTGAACTATGCTCCAAAATGAAATCATTTTGAAGTATAAGTGATTTCATATATCTTCAAAATATAATTTATATTAGGATCTTTATAGATGTCACAGAGTGCTTCACTAATATTCTGCCAATCCAGGTATGGCTGTCACCTGTAGAGGCAGGAAATCTTAATATAAACACCATTTACAAGAGTCATGTGCTAACTCTCTGATAATGGCTTTTCACTATTTCTTTCAGTTCTGACTAGAATACCTGAATGTGATTTTCATAACAAAGGTGTCCTCTGCTGATATGTCTGGTTTCCAAATTTAGTCACGAGAAGGAATTATCTGGATGAGCACCTATGCTGCTCAGATGGGTTTGTGCCTCTTCAAGTACGTGCACATTTGGGGAATATTTTCCCACAGCTTTCTCCTGGAGAAGCTGGCTGTTCACAGCTCGGCCGGGTGCACTGTTTGCTGGGTAAAAAACGACTGGACAGCCAGGCCCAGAGAATGGTGATGAATGGAGGTAAGTCAAGCTGGCACCAAGTGGTGTTCTCCAGGGCTTACTGATGGGCCCAGTTGTGTTTAGTAATCTTTATTGATGATCTGGATGAGGAGATTGAGTGCACCCTCAGTAAGTTCGCAGATCACAGCAAGATGGATGGGAATGTTGATATGCTGGACAGTGGGAAACCTCTGCAGAGGGAC